ATTTGTCCTGTAAATGAGTATTTTGTCTATGATCAATCAAATTTATACTCATGTTAAGGGATATAATTATTTTTTATATCCTTAACCCATTAACCCATATTCTCAAATCTACATCCCTAAGTTTGTCGAAACTCATAATCATAAGTTTAATATTTGGGCTAACTGCGGACAAGGTTTGGAAACTTAGGACTAAATTTTTAATCCAAAAATAAAGTTTGAGAATCATTTAAACTATTTTTCTCAAATTCATCCTGTTAATCCCTGTCTACCACCTTACCAAACAGTCCTCAAGTTTTATTGCAGATCCAATAAATGAGGAAGGCTACAATCCACGATAAAAAGTTACAATTAAAAAAATAATAGAAGTAATAATTTTTAAAAGTTGAAGGTACTATTTTTTGAGATTAAATTATACTTTTTAAAGATAAAGTTATACGCTTGATCACAAAGTTACTATTTTTTGAGATTAAATTATATTTAGTGTTGTGATCGATCATTAAATATTATGGTTGATCGTGAACAATCTCAATTAATTGTAATTTTATCTTCAAAATTTATAATTTGATATTTAAAAGTTATATTTTTTATGATTGATCCTAATTTTTTAAATTGTAACTTAAATTCTCAAAAAATTATAATTTGATAAATATTACCATTTTTTTGCATCAATGCAATATGAATCACCCTACCCTACAGGTAGGAAATATGTTCTTCCGTCTTCCTACCCAATACTTTGCGGAAGAGTTTTTTTTTGCCCTACCCTACCCGACAGGTGTGGTATTCCTACCCGACTTCCTACTCGATTAATCGAGTAGGAAGTCGGGTAGGAAATCGAGTAAACATTTTTGTAACAATTAATTTTTAGATCATTTTAACAATTTAATTAAATAACATGTACCAATTTAACAACATAATAAATCAATTAACACTAAAATCTAAATCAACTACAACGAGAATTATAATAAAACATAAGAAAGTATGAACATCAATCCACCAACATTGTTACACAAATATAATAACCATTAATTTAAGTTTAAACTTTAAACCATATGAAATATATTAAAATCATAATTGTTCCGCCTGGGGTTAGGGTTTAGGATTTTTTTAATTTTTATATATATTTATATTAAAAAATTATTATGGGTAGAGTAGGGTAGGAATGTGGAAATAGATAGCTATTCCGTATTCCTACCCGAAAATTGTCGGAAGACAAAAAATTATTCTGCATTCTTACCCCATTTTTGTGGCTAATGGGTAGAAAAATTTGAACAACCCTATGAATCATTAAGTTTTTTTACATGAACTATTTATTATATTTATGGGTTTTTTGTTTTTGTTTTTTTTTTATGCTTGAGTCAAATTCTGTAAGCTTAGGATGAAAGAAAACACAAACTCGAATGCATCCATTTATGAGCTTAATCCAATAGAATTAAGCTAACTTCACGTCAATTTTTTGTTTGGTTGCTTTGGCTTGGAAAGTTATTTTAAAAGTTATTCTCCCTGTTCTGGATCTTAGTCTCTTCTAGTTGTCCTATAGCTAGTGCAAGTCCATGTAGAGAGAATGTGATTAACAATGAAGTTGCATGTGAACATTCTTTTAATAGAACTCAAGTAGCAAGTGGTGTGCGAACATTGATTCTTTTGGGTTCGTAATTGGTGTGAACAACACTGTCAATAATGGAAAGGAAGTTAGTAAGCGACATATGACCAACCTTTCCATTAAAAGCAAATGAGGGGAGAAGCATCTAGAAAACTTATCCCAATCGAAGTAGTTGACAATGGTTGTTGGGAGGGAACGAAGTCAATGAAGTGATGAAGGATACCGTGACTAAGAAATAAGATTAAATAACAGAAATTTTAATCTATTGATTATCACAATAATACCAGATTAAAGTCATCAAGAGTCTTGTTGATTTATGAAGAATAACAAGTTAATTGAAGAAAAAAAATTCATCTCTTAGCTTATTTTAAACAATCTAAAGCTACTCAGTTTCTCAACACAATACAAATACGAAATCTTAATGGTACTAAATTACTAGAAAATCTAAGCAAATAAGTAATATTATAAAAATACCCCAATCANTAAATACGAAATCTTAATGATACTAAATTACTAGAAAATCTAAGCAAATAAGTAATATTATAAAAATACCCCAATCAGTAGAATAAAATAAAAAAGTGCCTAAAAAGCGCTACAAACATCATTTTTTTAGCTTAAATACGGCGAGATGAAAGATACACTATTCAATCTTGCTCAGATTGTTGAAAACTTTTCAAAATGGAGCATTCTGAAATGTTCTGACACTATAGCTCAGAAATCAGTCCTAATTGACACATGTTCAGCCCTATTTTCGACAATCTTAATATTTTATGTACTCTTCTGTTATACATGTTGCATCATAAAGTATGGAAAAGTGAGATCGATTTGTTAGTTAACATGTGCTCTGGGAGATCTCTCGGGGGGTTTNATTATACATGCTGCATCATAAAGTATGAAAAAGTGAGATCGATTTGTTAGTTAACATGTGCTCTGGGAGATCTCTCGGGGGGTTTTGTGGGATTCCATTTGTTCTTACATTAGAGAAGATTTTATCAATGACTTGCTCCATTGGTTTCTTTTGTTCATTGAATTAACATGTGGTCTGGGAGATTTCATGTTTGATTATGTTTCAAAGGGTTAAATATATTTTGCAACCTTATAGTTTATGATGAAGATTTAATTTTGTTGAATCGTAAACTTTCATCCAAAAGTTGACGAAAATATATATGTATTAACTTGTAACTGGTCAAAAAAACTTGTAGTACATGTAATACAGTTTCATAATTCAATAGTTATATAGAACAATGTGATACACATTTTGAATCTTACATAATTTGTGGCAATAAAGAATTCTATATTGGGTCAAATGCCACAGAGTGTCAGCGATTGAAAAAGTGATGGTGTTTTACACGTGTTTGATGGTGTTTTACATGTATTTGATGGTGAATGGAAAATGAGAAGTGTGAGCGATATATTTTGTATCTTTTAAGTGAGTAATGATTGATTTTTTTGTATTTGTTACGATGGAAAAAATATAAATATATATTTTATCATTGCATCTATATATGAAATTAATGTTTATGTACGGGGTAATAGATAAATAGGATATATGCATATATTAAAGGATTTAAAAGTAAATAATATATATTTTGACATACATAATTAATTTTTTATCTAATTTTTCTCCTAATTTTAAAATGTTAGATTTTGGTGAGTTAAAAGAATGGCTAATACATCCATTTTTTTCATCATTTTTTTTACTAAACATTATATTTTATCTATCGTTTCATCTTTGTTGTCGATATAAAAGTAAATAACTTTTTATCGTTATCGAAGTGAGTGGGATATCAATTGGACTATATTTAATCCAAACATAGAATTTGAGAGTTTTTGAACTATTTTTTCCAAACTTATTTTGTCAATTCTCTATACCCTTTTACCAAACAACTCCTAAGTTTTATTGTAAATCCAATAAACGAGAAAGGCTACACTCCAAGATAAAAGTTACAATTAAAAAAGTAATAGAAGTAATAATTTTTAAAAGTTGAAGTTTCTATTTTTTGTGATTAAGTCATACTTTTTAAAAATGAAGTTACATTACCCCAAAATCGAAAGGCACTTTTCGGTGGACTAGAGTACATTTTTTAATAATTACTTCTAAAGTTGGGTAAATAGTTCCAAAAGGAGGGTCCATGCAGTGAACTCCCCATTATAATATTATCATTAGGTTAACTTTACTCAAGTATGGAAGAGAATAACATTGCTATTCCTTCACGCTTCCTCAATGATTGACGGTGAGAGGAACAACAATGTTATCTATAATAATAAAATAGAGTTTTTTATTTAAATAATTCATATCGTTTAGATATGATGGTTTATGTTACGATTTATAATAATAAAACATTGTCTTTTGTTTGAATGGCTTAAACTCCTCACTTAGAACCGGTATAAATTATTTAGATTCGACGTTTTATATTAAAATTTCTATAATAATAAAACAAAATCTCATACTTGAGCTGCTTAAACTCCTCACTTGAAAATGTACAACAACGACCTAGATCTTTTAGGTTTGACGATTTATATTACGATTTAATATTTTAACATTTTAATCATACTAACTTTTTAAATTTTAATCTTTTATCATTGTAACTACAGTAACTTATTTAAATTTTAATTTTTTAGTCATAGTAACTTAAATTTTAATCTTTTAACCAATTTGTCCAAAAAAAAAAAAATCTTTTAACTCAAAAAATAATAATTTGATAAATTTTACCATTTTTATTGCATCATTTCAATATGAATCATTAAGTTAATGAGTCTTATTAAATTTATTGACATGTCACATTCATTTGAATAATATTGACGTGCCGTGATGAAAATCGTACCGAAATAGCACGATTAAAATGCTAAAAAACAATATCCACTTGCAGAATCACTGTTTCAGAAAGGCCAAGTAAAGGACAAGAGGACAACAGTTTACATCATATGAAACATGAGACCAAGATAATCAAAATTATGAAAAAGTCTATCGTAGCAAAAAAGAATTATTTTTTATTTGTATTGTATTGTCATTTAAAATTTTATAATTATTTTTATAATTTTTTATAATTTCCTTAGCGTCATTTATGATTGATCACAAATAACCTTAACATATGTTATAACATGAATTATAAAAATTATAAAATAACTCCAAAAATTATAGAATTTTTTGTCATAAACAAATCAAAAAACTTAATATCTCGATCACCAAGCTTATAAAATCTGACAGTACGGACACCAACTTTGAACAAAAGAGGTGGTTGATAAAAATAATTAAGTCGTGTGTCTGGACACCAACTTTGAACACTCACTCATCGACAAAATATTTTTCTTGGATGTGAGCTAAACCTCACTCCAGCTATTTCCTTTGTTTCGTCCTATAAATACCGATGAACTTGTTTATCTCTCACCAAAAAAAAGGAACTTGTTCATGAGATTTCAGAACTCCCAATGGAACTTATTCATCCATATCCTTCATGTTTTCATTCAGTTCTTTGCCATAGAGGAATGCCCACTTTAACAAAGCAACATATCAGAGTCAAGCAAAGCAGGCCAATCAATGTTATATGCATCAATTCGAAAGCAATTGAGGTTCATGCAAATCAACGGCGATCAGCTAACTATCATCCTACCATTTGGGATCCCAAGCACATCGAGTCATTTAGCACGCCCTATACAGTTAAGTCCCACATTTTTTTAAAATTTTTTGTCAATTTTCTGATATTTTTCTTATATAGAGTTATTGGGGTGACGAGTATTAATATCTATTTGGCCCTTAAACGTGTTAATCAGATCCTTGAATTATATTTTTGTTTTAATTTAGCCGCTGACCTATGCCATTTATGTCAATATGGTCCTTCCGTCCAAATTCATAGCTAATTTGGACGGAATTCCTCATGTACACATCACGTGAGTTAAGAAATAGAGTATAATTTAGGGGTCACGTGTTATGCAAGTGAGGAATTCCATCAAACTTAACGACGAATTTGGAAGGAATGACCATATTGACACAAATGTTATAATTCATGGATTAAATTGACACAAATCATAATTTAAGGGCTTGAATGTCATAAATAGTATAGTTCAGAGACCAAATAAATAGATAGTTAACTCTAATATCATTTTATCAATGTTGGGGAGCGAAGGGTATTTTGTTTGTTTTTTTGGGTAAATTAGAGGAAGGGTATTATATCATTTTTCTTTATCATTTTTATAATCAAGTCATTGTGGTAGTAGCTAAATTTGGCTGATCTTGCATGTAGTATGAATTATATGGCCACACGTTGGAGGAGTTGAAGAAAGAAGCTACAAGTTTACTTAAATCTGAAAGAGAACCTTCAGCTCAAATGAAGCTTATTGATTCAATACAGCGACTAGGAGTGGCCTACCATTTTGAGGAAGAGATCCGAGATAGCATAGATCATGTTCATGAGGCTGTGATGGGTGATTTATACACTACTTCACTGCAATTTCGACTTCTAAGAGAACATGGTCATTCAGTTAGTTCAGGTAATAGAATAATTTATATTACAAATCACAAAAAAATAACTTACCTACTGTTTAATAGCATTTTTAAAAGTTTTTTTGTTATCGGTTGTTTTACAATATATACATATATATATATATATATAACATTATTCGTACAATAAGATGCATGTTGATCGTGTTCATAAAATGGTAATTAAACGTGTTTTCTTTTACGAAATTACAGATCTGTTTAACAAATTCAAAGATAGGAATGGAAGATTCATGGACAGCTTAAGCAAGGATGCAACAGGTCTTTTGAGTTTATATGAAGCTTCACACCTTGGAATGAACAGTGACGATGGCTTAAAAGAAGCAAAGAACTTCAGTATTAAACATCTAGTGTCATTGGCTGATAAGTTGGACAATAATTTAGCTGAGCAGGTCAAGCAATCCTTGCAAACACCACTATACTGGAGAATGCCAAGGTTGGAAGCCCGGAAATTCATCGATCTCTACCTAGTGGACGATGAAATGAGCTTAATTCTGAGCAAATTGGCCAAGTTGGATTATAATCTTGTGCAATCCACACATCAGCAAGAACTAAAGGAACTTACAATGTAAGTTTTACTTGAAAAAACTAGTATCTTGATTAAGGATGAATTAACAATAACAATAAGTGTGGAATTTCACGGTTTAGGTGGTGGAGAAACTCAGGATTTAAAGAAAACTTGAGCTTTTCACGGGATCGTTTGATGGAAAATTATTTGTGGGCAATGGGAATAATTTATGAGCCCCGGTTCTCCAAAAGCAGGAAAGGCCTTACCAAGATGGTTTGCATATTAAGCGCGATCGACGACATGTATGACATTTATGGATCATTAGATGAGCTTGAACGCTTCACTAATGCAGTAAATCGGTATGATATGTGAACATAACAATGTTGAGTTGAAATAACACTTTGGATCACAGGCATTGAACGTGATGGTTTATTGTGTTTGTTCTATCAGATGGAGCATCGAGGCCATGGAGGACCTTCCTGAGTACATGAAGCTGTGTTACTTGGCCATGTTCAATTTCGGAAATAAAGTTGCCGATGATGTTCTGAAAGATAATGGTCTGAATGTTCTTCCCTACATTAAAGAAGAGGTAAGAAATAATTATGAAAACATTTTTGTTTTAGTTTAAGATATTACACTTTGCACCATTAAATATTTGATTTGATTTCACGATATCATTCCCTCGATATCAAATGTCTACGGAGAAAACTGTACACAAGGTAAATGTGAAAATTGCTTCCAAAATTACACAAATACCCTTCTCTCTCTCTCTGTCTCTCTGTCTCTCTCACACACACATCACAAACTCACACATCACCCCTCCAAACTCCCACAGCCACTAGACACAAAATCCACTACATCCACTAATCCTCAGATCCACCACCTCAACTTAGGAATGGCAGTGCTCCGGGGCAAGAGAGGGGACAGGAGAGTAGTCTCCACCTCGGTATCTACTTCAAAAATATTTGTCTATCTTCGGCCCACTTCCTTTAGCGTGGAGAATTTTAATCCTCATCTCCGCCCTATGGATAAATTTTGATCCCCATCCCCGTCCCCGTCCCCGCCACCATCCCTCGTCCATAATAATTAATTTCTATGGTTTTAAGATAAAAATTTAAAAAAAATAATAAAACCTCATAAATGGTTATGCAAGAAGAGTAAAACTCTATTACATAACAAATAGATCAAAAAAAACAAAAACAAAAACAAAAATAGAAAGTAATTTTTTTTTTTTTGGTAAATAGAAGAGCATATGAGTGAGTAAGGTTTGTGATATTATATATATGTATTTAATAAGTGAGTGAGAGGGTTGGTGAGATTTGTATTTTTATATATATCACGAGTTTAGCAGGACGAGGCGGATGCGAGTTTCAGTCTATCCTCGTCTCCATTCCCGCACGATTTTATACGGGTATATGTCTATCATCCAATACATATGGCCCTTTCTCGGTCAAAATAGGACGGGTTTAGACGAATACCCATTTTTCCATGGTCCATTAACATCCCTACCTCAAATCCCACCATGGCTGGCTGGTTGTAAGGGTATAATTGTCATTCTATTGTTCTATCAAGGGTATAAGAGAGTTTGTTTATTTGTTTGACTTCTACAAAGGAAAAAATGAACATTTTTTTTCACATAATTAAGCATGGAATTTGTAGAACCTCAAAATTCTAATAGACATTTGGGAGTTATAGCGATAAGAGTATAGTTTACAATTTTCTCTGGGGTATTTAGATATAAACAAGTTCACAATCTATAATAATGCAACTAAGTTGCAAAAAAATAATATTTCTATGCATTAGTCTCTAAATGCTAGAGCAATAACTTTGGCTAACAGTTGCTAATTTTTTTTGTTGTAGTGGACAAATCTTTGTCGGTCATATCTGCTAGAAGCACAATGGTTTTACAGTGGTCATACACCAACACTGGAAGAATATTTTAGAAATGCTTGCACGTCCATAGGTGGTCCAATAGCCATATTCCATGCTTACGTGCTGCTAGGGTTCCCCGTAACAGAAAATTCTCTCAACTGCTGCAAATTTGGCTCAGAGACAATTTATTGGTCATCTCTCATTACCCGAATTTGCGATGATTTGGGCACTTCCAAGGTATCTTCACTTAATTTGCATAATCCTTGTGACCTATCCAATCTATATATGACGTAGAAGTGAAAGGGCAACTCAGTGGTTGAGCCTTTAATGTTAGGGAATGTTAGAAGTACATTACCTTATCTTTTTATGGGAAAAATTTATTTCAAAGTCTCCAACCCGTGATACACATATCATAACGGAACAACCTTACCACTTCACTAAGACTAGTGAATAAACATGACATCATATTTAGTCCTTATTAGTGCAGGCCTGCAGGAGTAGAGTCAATCCGTGCTGATGTAAATCCCTACTTTTTCTCATTTACATACGAGATATTTGATTTCATGTAACTAATTTTTAATTTTTGAATTACTCCCCAAGTTGAATTGATTTTATATAACTATGTATGTAGTCTAGTCCTGATCATTTCACATCATGGTTTGAATTAAACCTTACTCTTTTGTTTTTTGTGCAATATTCAAGGCTGAGATTGCAAGAGGAGATGTACCAAAATCCATCCAGTGTTACATGTTCGAAGAGAAAGTATCTGAAGAACAAGCATACCGTCACATGAAGAGTCTAATAATCTCCTCGTGGAGTAATCTTAATGATACAATTGCAAGAAAATCTCAACCTCAATCCCTAGTAAGGATGTTATTAAACATGGCAAGGACTGCTCAGTGTATCTTCCAAAATGGAGATGGTATTGGGACATCAACTAGAGAGACAAAAGATATCTTAACCTCACTAATTGTCAAACCCATTCCGATTGAGCAACTGTACCCTAGCATGATGGACTCGGCTCATGCTTGGGTTGACTCAGTTACTTTCTCCAGCATTTAGTTGACAGCTTTGCTCTGAGAATCAGTCTTGCCAAAAGAAGTAAAGGTTGTCTACTATTTATATGTCTAAGGTGCCCCTAGAAGTGAAGCCTTTCGCATGGGGTATGACGTATTTTTTTTGGATACTTTTCTATGCAAATCATCCCTCTGCATCCTTTATTCAGGCACTATGGTAGATTGATTGTCTTGTGACTGCTTGAATGTAACGTAGTGTTTGTTAGAAGAGTGGATGTATGACAATGGGGGCCGAACCATGTATACACGTGGTGTGGTGTGTTTCTAATGCGAATTTCCTCTTTTATGAGCATAAATTGAATGTAAGAGTTGACTCAAAGTTAATATGTTCCATTGGATATGAATTGCTCATGCCCTTATTTTAGTTACATATTAACTAGACTAGAATCTATATAAAAAAATTATTGATAAAGTCATAAATGAACAATAAATAAAAAAATATAATCGTGACTCTCTTCTTCACACACAACTCAAGCAACCTACTCTCTCTCTCTCTCTCTCTCTCTCTCTCTCTCTCTCGCTACTGCCACAACCTGTCAAAACATTTACTCTGTATTTCATTCATAATGCTTTACACAATCGTTAGTTACAAATATATAAGATCAAAATAAATCTTCTATTTTTGGCTATACAAATCAGGTTCCTATAATCATGCTCTCGTGTGAAGGAAAAGATTTCTTTCCATCCCTCTTCCTATAATTCCTCCCATCTACTAATCTATTACAACTCACGCCAACACTCCCCCTCAAATTGATGCATACGATTCCCTTATGCACAACTTGACTAGTGAGCTATAGAACTCTTTGTTGGACACGGCTTTGGTAAGTATATCTGCTAGCTGGTCTTTTGACTTGACAAATGGAAATCAAATTTTCTTAGTCTCGAGATTATATTTGATAAAGTTTCAATCCACCTCCACATGTTTAGTTCTATCGTGCTAAACTGGATTATGAGAAATATCTGTGGCAGCTTTATTATCACAAAAAAGACTCATTTCTGATGTGGGAGCAAAACCAACCTCAGTTAGCAACCTTTTCAACCAAAGAAGTTCACACAAACCCTTGGCCATCCCTCGAATTCTGCTTCTGCAACCAACAAATGTGAAATACCGTGAGGTCGACTTCCTATCTGAGAAGTTCCTGACCCAATTTGTGTCTATATAGCCCTCGACTTCCAAATGATCATGCTTAGAAAACATGAGTCTTTTCCCTGGAGAGGACTTCAAGTATTTCAGTATCCAAGTTATAGCCTCCATGTGTTCCTCACTTGGATAATGCATAAATTGACTCACCACACTCACAGCATATGCAATATCTAGACGAGTATAAGATAAATAAATTAGTTTGCCAACTAATCGTTGATATCTCCCCTTATCAACTGGTTTCTGGTCCGGATAAATCCCAAGCTTGTGATTCTGGACAATCGAGGTATCTACCAGTTTGCACTCCAACAATTCAACCTCAGATAATAAGTCTAGGATATATTTTCTTTGGGATAGAAAGATGCCTTGGTTTGACCCAGCAACCTCAATTCCCAGAAAATACTTGAGCCCACCTAGATTTTTCATTTCGAATTCACTAGCCAATTGCCCTTGGAGCCGTGATATTTCTTCTCTAGTATCTCTTATGATAATCATATCATCGACATAGACAATTAAAGTTGTTACCTTGCCCTGCTGTCATTTGAGAAATAAAGAATGATCTGAGTTGNCTCTCTCTCTCTCTCTCTCTCTCTCTCTCTCTCTCGCTACTGCCACAACCTGTCAAAACATTTACTCTGTATTTCATTCATAATGCTTTACACAATCGTTAGTTACAAATATATAAGATCAAAATAAATCTTCTATTTTTGGCTATACAAATCAGGTTCCTATAATCATGCTCTCGTGTGAAGGAAAAGATTTCTTTCCATCCCTCTTCCTATAATTCCTCCCATCTACTAATCTATTACAACTCACGCCAACACTCCCCCTCAAATTGATGCATACGATTCCCTTATGCACAACTTGACTAGTGAGCTATAGAACTCTTTGTTGGACACGGCTTTGGTAAGTATATCTGCTAGCTGGTCTTTTGACTTGACAAATGGAAATCAAATTTTCTTAGTCTCGAGATTATATTTGATAAAGTTTCAATCCACCTCCACATGTTTAGTTCTATCGTGCTAAACTGGATTATGAGAAATATCTGTGGCAGCTTTATTATCACAAAAAAGACTCATTTCTGATGTGGGAGCAAAACCAACCTCAGTTAGCAACCTTTTCAACCAAAGAAGTTCACACAAACCCTTGGCCATCCCTCGAATTCTGCTTCTGCAACCAACAAATGTGAAATACCGTGAGGTCGACTTCCTATCTGAGAAGTTCCTGACCCAATTTGTGTCTATATAGCCCTCGACTTCCAAATGATCATGCTTAGAAAACATGAGTCTTTTCCCTGGAGAGGACTTCAAGTATTTCAGTATCCAAGTTATAGCCTCCATGTGTTCCTCACTTGGATAATGCATAAATTGACTCACCACACTCACAGCATATGCAATATCTAGACGAGTATAAGATAAATAAATTAGTTTGCCAACTAATCGTTGATATCTCCCCTTATCAACTGGTTTCTGGTCCGGATAAATCCCAAGCTTGTGATTCTGGACAATCGAGGTATCTACCAGTTTGCACTCCAACAATTCAACCTCAGATAATAAGTCTAGGATATATTTTCTTTGGGATAGAAAGATGCCTTGGTTTGACCCAGCAACCTCAATTCCCAGAAAATACTTGAGCCCACCTAGATTTTTCATTTCGAATTCACTAGCCAATTGCCCTTGGAGCCGTGATATTTCTTCTCTAGTATCTCTTATGATAATCATATCATCGACATAGACAATTAAAGTTGTTACCTTGCCCTGCTGTCATTTGAGAAATAAAGAATGATCTGAGTTGCTTTGTTTGAAACCATACTTCTTCATTGCCAAGCTAAATCTCCCAAATCATGCCCGCGACGATTGCTTTAATTCATACAAAGCTCGCTGCAACTTGCACACCTCATTAGTTCTTGTGGTCACTGAATAGCCTGGAGGAATGTCGATATACACCTCTTCTTCAAGATCACCATAAAGAAAGGCGTTCTTCATGTCAAACTGATGTAGTGGCCAATCCAAGTTCGCTGCAATAGATGACAACACTCTAACAGTATTTAGTCTAGCTATTGGTGAGAAAGTTTCTTGGTAGTCTACGCCATATGTTTGTGTATACCTTTTTTCCACGAATCTTGCCTTGTACCTCTCTATAGATCCGTCAACTTTGTATTTTATAGAGAACACCCACTTGCATCCCACTATTTTCTTTCCTCTCGGTAATGGTACTAGGTTCCGTCTTATTTTTCATTAAGGCTTCTATTTCTTCTTTGATAGCTTGAGTCCACTTCAGGTCTTCCATGGCTTCCTCCACCCTTGTTGGAACATGATGAGTAGAAATGTCATGCATAAAGGTCTTGAGAGATTCGATCAACCCCTTTGTGGACACATAATTGGCGATGGGATATTGTGATCTTCTTTCCTCAATGTCTGGTGAGTAGCGGCTTGGTGGTTTGCCATGATTGTGCCTGTGAGGTAATACATAACCAGCAGGAGATTCTATGATATTGGCGTTCAAAGAGCTTACATTAGGATCATTCTTAGGAGTGGGGTCTTCGGGTACTACAGAGGTGGAAGAAATTGCAGCTTCGTGATTAACTTCTTGAAGATTAACTGCTTGATGAGGAACACATACTGATTGCATCGACTCCACATGTGTTGTGGACAAGCCCGACCAGTGTAGTGCCATCCATTTCGACTCTTCATGTGTAGTCTCCCCCTGAAGAGGAGAACAGGGTGGGAAAAAGGTTTCGGTTTCCATGAAGGTGACATCTATGGAGACATATGTGCGATTAGAAGTGGGGTCATAGCATCTATAGCCTTTTTGATAAAATGCATACCCCAAAAATAAGCACCGACGAGCACACGGGTCTAGCTTAGTCAGTTGGTTCTTATGGAGATGGACGTAAGCAATGCACCCAAACACACGGGGTGGAAGCATCAAGACCGTGGGCAGGGGAGTATATGCTGCAAGATCTTGTAATGGTGTTTGGAACCCTAACACTTTAGAGGGCATTCGATTCAGGAGATGCATAGAAGTAGTAACTGCATCAGCCTAGTACTGTGGAGGAGCATGGGCACCTAGTAAGAGAGCTCGGGCAGTCTCAAGAACATGTCGATTTTTTCACTCGGCAATACCGTTTTACTGAGGTGTTGGGGGGCTTGAGGTTTCATGAAGAATGTCATGATGTTCAAAATAATCGCGAAATTGGTGATTAACATGTTCACCACCATTATCTAATCGAAACACTTGAACCTTAGCAAAAAATTGTGTGTTTACCATAACATGAAATGACTTAAACACACTGAATACTTCATCTTTATGTTTTTGCAAATAAATCCAAGTCATCCGGATACAATCATCAACAAACAACACAAACCATCTGAACCCAAACACAGTAGTAATTAGAGAAGGACGCCACATATCGGAATGTATCAAGGCAAAAGGAGTATCTTTTTTATTCAGATGGAAAGGATAAGAAAATCTATGACTTTTTGCTAAAATGCAAATTTCACATTAAAAATCGAAATGTTTCAATCGAGAAAACAAATCCAGAAATAAGTGTTTTATGTAGGTGAAGGACGGGTGTCCTAACCGACAGTGCCAAAGCCAGATCTCCTTCTCTTTGACACCAATAGAATGGTGCATGTGATGTGCTCTGCCCACACTAAAGTCTTCCATGTAATAGAGCCCCCCTCTCTTAGTACCACACCCAATGATCTCCTTGGTGAGAATGTCCTAGAGAAGACAAAAGACATGGTACATAAGTATAATACAATTAAGGTCAGACATTACTTGGCTTACAGAGAGGAGCTTATGAGATAGTGAGGGAACAAGTAATGTATTAGGCAACTGCAGAGTAGGGGTTAAGGCCACAGTGCCCGCGCCAGTGACAGGGGAAATAACGTCATTAGCATTGGCGATATTGGTACGTCTTGGTAAGGAAGTTTGTGTGAAATCCTTAGCGTCAAACATCATGTGGTCAGTGGGGCCAAAGTCCAATAGCCATGCACCAAGTTTAGCATCACTAGGTGAACTAAAACATACACAACCAAGGTTACCTGAATCAGGAGAGGAGGAAATATCTGAACCGTGGGCAACCGGTGGTGTAAAAGACAAGTGAGGCTCTGCATTCACCACTGCTGCAATACGAAGACCCTCATCTTTGCTAGCTGTGTCACGACGTT